GAGAGTTTAGTCTTTATAATTACAAATAAGAAAATCATTTTTAATAATATTTACAATTAGTCTCACCACACTCGAAGTGCTATTTTTTCCGCACTATTAGCCTTCTTTACCAAAAGTTTGGGGAATTGCTATATTTCGACAACCGCAGTCCTCATCTTAGGATAGCTACCAGTTTCAATATTTTAAATCACTATCGATGCCTTTATATACCGCACAAGGCTATTTGTTCCTTCGATGGATGGTTCTATCCGACATTTAACTCGCTCCATTCTCTAGACATTAGTAGACAGTTTTTTCTCCCTCCCAGCATTAAAGAAAAACGGTCAGAAGTGTACTCGCTAACAGAGCCTTTATTCGGAAAAACCCATCGGGGAAACTCACTCGAGTAATATTACTAGCGTATTATGTTTAGTAATACCGTTGTTATAAATCAAGAAGGTTATTTTCGCCCATAATAGGTTTTTTGCATATTTGCTTTAGAGCGAAAATAGTAAATCAGATCAAATCTGATTATCTAATAAAAATAATAGCTTAATGTGCTGGTCAAATAAAACACGCCTATTATCAGCGCTACTTTGCATTTCAGTTTGTGAGATGTTTCGACGTACAGGTTCAGATTATATTATATTACAAATGACCGATTGCTTAGCTTATATTCGTCGTTCTTTTTTACTTAGCTCCTTTACTTCTTGAGCCATTCATTTCGCTTCACTATGTTTTTTGCCTTAGCATAGCACCCAACACCCGATTTGATTTTATATCTATGTTGAGATGAAAAATTATGTAAATCGATAATCCAACTTCAACATCGATTAAGCGATTTAGTTGTTATATTTTTGATTTTGGCATGGTCACTGATTGATTGTATCACACAAATTGCGCCAAACTGAGCAATATGATGATAGCAATAACAACCAGCAATTGCAGCAACACAACTGCATTGTATGGATTTTACCTGACTGATTATTAGGTGGCACATCGCTGGGTGCAGCATGCCATACGTGCTCGTATGAATACGCTTTCTCTCACTACTCGTTGTAACTAGAACAAATTGGTATTCGGAATCGTTTTCGCGCTCAAGTTGGCTTGGCATATTGAATTATTAAGCGTGAACGCACAGTTTTATTTATGCGTATACTTATGTATATACCTGTATGTATGTAACTGTAGTATATATGAAATTGAATGTGCCAATGCCTGCAGTTATGTGTTACATTTTCATTTTACTGGTTTTGGCAGCTATCCCATTGCAAAAAGTGCTGGGTTATGAGGTAACTTAACGGTAAATAGGCAAGTTAAACGCGTTTTCCAGACAGCTTATAATTCTTGCCACACTTATGAGTGAAATTTGTATGGCCCGACGTTAAATTAGAAGATATGGAGCAAGAAGCGTTCATACCTATCAAATAAAAATTTTTTTGATAATTTAAGTAATGCGGAAAATAATAAAATATATTTCATAGCAATTTTTTTAGTATAAGTATGTACATGCTTAATTAATCTTTTATATAGTTTTTTATAAATATATGTATATGTATGTATTATTTTTAATGACAAAATAATACCGAAGCATTACATTTTAACGATACTTTATCTAATCGCATATATTTATGGTATTTGTTATTTTTAAAATTGTTGCATGCCGCCTATGAATGTCAAGCGCTAATAATGTATACCACGTTCTGGACAACGGCGCGTATAATAAATATGAATATATATTACTCGTTATTAATACAGTTTTTACGCCTAAATTATGTCTCCGGAATTATGCGTGCACTTAAATCCAATACAGAGGCTTGCAACATGAACAAAAAACTTAAATTTCTCATTATCTTTACTTATAATTGCATACACACATATTTTTTATACTACCATTTTGGGCTTGTTGTCGGAAATACGCTGCAAAATTATTTTATTTAAATGCAATTTTTTATGCCATATTAAGCAACAACAAAGTTTACTAATAACTTACAATAGCACTATGCTTATAGTACCAGAAAAAAAAAATTATAATGAAAGCAGTAGGCATAATATTACGCGAATAATTGTAGATAAGTATAATATTATACCTAGTAGAAAAAATGCGTCTGTGGATTACTTTTCATACAATTCTTGAAATGTAGCTTACATAAATTATTGTTTAGTAACTAGTGTTATTGTAAACTAGTTAATTTGGTTAGTTAAAAAATTAAAAAAAAACTTTTGGTTAACGCAAATATTTTTTATGTTTAAGAAAAGTAAATGTTGTTATTGTAAAATAATAACAAAATTGTTGGCCTTTATATACTTTTGGGCGGAACACTATTACAAATATCAGGTATAATTTATATTTGTTTAAATAGTAAGTTAAGCAGATATTATTCAAATCAGATCTCTAGCCTTCATTTCTGAGAAATTATTGTTGATCTTAATTTTAAACCAAGATAGATGATTAAATCAAGGATCTAATATAAGAATTGTTATTTCACTCGATAACAATCGAAAAAATCCAACGCTAAATATATTCATGTGTACTATTTATCTATTCAACGAACAAGAATTCGTTTTAGATTTATACGTACTGAGCTTGGTGAGTCCTAAATCAATTATGATCATTAACCATGGTAAAACTTATTTCGTGTGGAGAGTTTTTGTTTTTATCAATTTATAGCATAAAACACTTAAAACAATCTACTACGTGTTTTCATCAACGAGCTCTAAGGATGTAAAACGGAGCTGTATTCTGCAATGTAAATAATAGTCAAGTCTAGCTTGGCTTTATTAACAGCATATTTTTTATTTTATTTATTTAACAGTTAAGTCAGGAATTGATTTTAAGCTAATCCATGAGCTTTTTCTTACTGCCAATATTTTGCTTAGCTCTTCTGAAAATATGGTATATATATATATCATGACAGAAAACTATGAGTCCTCACTTCAGCTTTTATTATCCTTGCAAAAGCTTTTTAAGCGCTTCAACATACTAAATAATTATTAAGCTAAATTTCCTGACAATTCGATAGTGGAACTACAAAGTGTTATTATTCACTGTTATTACATTTTTCCTTAGTCTACAATTATTATTGTACGGTCCAACTACAATACATTCTCGCTCGCCCTAAACAACCACTTTCACACATTATTTTGTGTAATAACGCGATTTTAATTGTTGTGGATAAATGAAATATGTTCGCAGCTTGATAAATTAATGAGGCAATGGCTGCACAACAAATAAACGTAATTAATTATAAGCGATAAAAAGTTGTGAAAATGTGCAACAACTGCCACTGAGGGGTAAATTGCAATAATTTCAGCACAGCACGCGGCATGCAATGAGTGTAGCAAGTATTACACTTAATGAGGAATTACATTGCCCAAGTTTACATATTCAACTGTTATTGTTAATATATATGTATAATAATCTTCTGAATTTCGTAATGTTGAGTCTTTTGTGTCTCTTAGAGGTCTACTATAAACATCGAAATATTTTGAAGTATCAAAATCATTTATTTTTTTCAACTTCTACCTCAGATATAAGGAATTCATAACCTTACTGAAATTTTGCCATAAGGATAGTTTAATAAAGTGACTATCATATAAAGTTGTAGCTAGCAGTTCTTAATCGAAGTTATGTAATCAGTTTGCCTTCGTGATGAATCCTGTACTTAAATGCCAATGTGGATTAACTTACTTATATGTATGTAACTATCAGCGATCAAATACCGGGAAATCGGTACACACAGCCATATTTCTATATAAAGTGAATAGTTAAGTAAACTCCATTTGCTCTGCCACAGATCACCTCAACCATAGTATCTGTTTACTAGATGACCCGACCACGCACTGCTGTGGCTAAGTTATATATTAAAATATATTATTATACCATAAACTATATAAAATAGTACAAGGTATTTATGAATAAAAATGAAAACGTTATAGGTAAATTACTTTTAAAGGATAATAGGTGAACCAATTTTCAACCGAGAACTAAGTATTGCCATTACAGGTATATCTAGAGAATTTAGAAACACAAATTGGCATTTTTCATTTCATTTTATTTCCATTAACAAAATTAGTGATTGTTTTAAAATACATCAGATCACCTGGCAACAACTGTTGTATCAAGATATAAATTTCGTCAACATCCACATGTGTGGCCGCTATTCTAGCCCGATTACTGAGCCTGTTATGATTCTAATAATTAATTTTTATTTCCAGATAAATATTCTTATTTAATAAATTTTTCTTAGTTTTATTATATCAGTAACAATTTAAAGCAATTTTTTGGAATATATTATATGTGTGCTGGTTAAATAATTTGCAATTGCAAACGCATATTTATGGTCATATTTAGCGGCAACGACACAAAAGTCGTAGCAACCGTACCTTTGTCAATGAATTTAAATTGGGTTTCAGATTCTTAAGTTTTCCTCTTTAGCTGCGCGGTTATAATTACGACTATAACTTTAAAGGTTTTCTGTAAGAGCAGTTTAAAATTTCCAATATTTTTTTTTTTTGCAAAAATTCCAAAATGATTACTACAGCAATTTTCTCAACATTTGGTTCATTGTAAAGCATTTTCATTGCTCACTCAAGTCGCAGCAACATGTTGCCAACAACTTGTTTGTACCCAATTCAACACGAACTCACTCAATGTATGTATTGTGGCTGTGGCTTCATTCAGCTCAAAACCAAGCAACCTTTAAGGTTTTCCAATAACAACATACTCAAACCTCAAACCACTCATCGCGGTTAGCGCTTCGTCAAACCAGCTTGCTTCGTGCAAGTGTGGTGAGTTTCCACTCGTATGCACTTAGTTGCGTGTGTACAGCATTTGGCTTTGCTTAGCATTGGCATTTGAGCCTAAACAACGGTTAGTTTCGTAGAAACCGTTGTTAAATGTAGTTTGATTTTAGGGGAAAAGTTCGGTAGCTCGCGTTTGCGTACGCTGACTATAATACATATTATATATTAAATATTATATTTTTTTAAAGCAGTTCATATTCGAAATATTGGTGTGTGAATGAATACATATGTAAAAATATTAATATTGTATTAAAAATTGTAATAAAAAAAAAGCGTTTCCAGTTGAAATGTTTCAGGCAGCTAGCAAAAGTAAGGCTGCCGATAAGTGTGCCCCTGATCCTAAATTTTGTATGATGTGTACAAAAGTTGAAAATGTAAGAGAATTTATAGAACGCCAGCATTTATTCGGTTGTAAGAGAAATAAACAAATAAATTGCTGACACCAATACTCCAATATGCATTGTCACCCATTCACATACCGTTACACATGCACACAAACAAATATATGCATGCGTGCGTCAGACGCTTCCACCTGCCTTTTAGCCGCTCGCTGAGTGCTACTTGGCGTCTCAAGCTGTTACGTCTGGCCATGCTGTGCACTGTGTCTCTTCTTCTAACAAGTTTATTTTTTGTCTGCATTCTACTTGCCACGTGAACACCCACTTCAAACCAAAATAGTGCACATTGCTACACCGACCGTTAGTCTATTTTCGGTTTTGTTTTGCTCGTAATTTTTGTTGTTATTTGTTGTGGTCCATTTCATAAACACACGCAGCCATGTGGCATACCATTGCGGACTAACTCGCAGCTGTCTCGTTGCAAGGCTAAATAATGAGCAACAACAATAAGAAAATAACAAAATTTGCGTCGTCGCTGCAATAATGCCGACACAAAGTCTAGAGTTACGTGGCGGGCGTGCTCGAGTGTTATGGTGTGTGTGTGTTGTTGTTGCTGTGTGCACGGGAAGTGAAAGCCGGAAAACGGAAGTGCAGTGAAAGTGTATTTTATCCGCTTGCAAAAATAAGTTAATGTGCACCCCTTCTAGTATTTAAATAAAAAAAATCACAAGCAACAACAACACCACCAACGTGTTACATTCCATTTTCATCTACTAATTTTTATCATCTACTTTATCTAGTGCTCGTTGCTAAAAGTTCGTTGCTAAAAGTGCAATAAAACGTGAAGTAGGAAAGAAATCAAGAAAAGAAAGTGGAAACCGTGCAAAATTTTTACAAAAGCGGAATTATTTTGTCCTCCTCTTAAACAATGCAGCAACAAAAAGTTTCAAGTAAGTAAGCCTTCGCCAGCCATAAGACTGGAAATGTATGCAAAGTTATAAGCATAAAAATTAAAACTTAGCTTTAACGCAAAAAATCACGGCACACAGAAAGCTCACTGGTTAAAACAAAACAGGTCGCAATTTCCTAGCAGAATTACAAAGTAAAAGTAACGGAAAAACACACGTTACTCTTTTTTCACGCTGTGCAAGCGTCATAAAGTAGTAAATGGATTAACTCAAAATTGTCGCTTTTTCGTAATAATCTTGGATATACGTTTAATCTTCAACAACCCTCAGAAATGTAAGTGTGAATTTAAATGAAAAGTCGATTATATATGGTAGTATAAATTGTATAATTTATGAATTCTTCAATAGATATTCAGCGATTTTTAGCATTTCAATCAAAATGTTTTCATACTTACTATTCTATATGCAAGTTGAGGCTCGGTTTTGAATAAAACTCTTTTGAAATTGCAGTGAGTATACATAAGGACAAAGCTCGAAATATTTACAAGAAGAGCATAGATAAGTAGTTTTCTTGGATAAAAAAGAGAGAACCTCATAAACAGCATGTTGAAAGTACCCTTATATAAATCTTTCTCATAACTTATGTTCATTCTTCGTCAGTAAATGTACGAATTTACCCTTTATTTCAATACCATTTATAGATGACTTCGAAATAACCTAGTGACTGTATTTAAACCGCAAACTACACTAGCTAACAGAAGTCAGTTAAACTAGTGCAATACATCCACATTTGTTATTTACCAAACGTACTTACTAATTGAAAATAATTGAAAAAAAAAATTGATTTTCTGCTGGTTGCGCTTATTCCAGAATATAGTCGAAATGTTTAACTAATAATAAATATTGATTAACTCGTTAGAGTTTTCTTGACGCAATAATCTTAAGCATGAAGTGCTCCGCGCTTACTGAGACATCTTACTCGTTTGCTGAATTAGTCTACACTACATGTCATTTCCTGTTGTTACTTTTTCCACTCATACAATTTTTCATGAAATCTTAATGTAGAATAATTCAAAATAAAAATGATATCATATACGAGCATATATATATATATCAACAACGATAGGATCTTTCAAGAGCTGCCTTAATTAATTTTTTCCTCATAATGATCTTATAGAAAATCGAATCAAATTTTAATATATATTTATATTTATATTTAATATATATTTTTTAGTAAAAAAATTTAGTTATTAAAGCTTTTCCTATATATTTTCAGCAATTTAACAAATTTTACTGAATTCTTAGCAATGGTGTTTGACCTGCTAACGATTTAATTAACCGTTTGAATATATCTTCCTGCCTTTTTGTTAACCACCATAGCCCTTTGCAAACATTCCTATTTCGACTAAAATGCAACCATTGCCTTTGTTTACTATAACGCTAAAGTTAACATTTTTTCATCCTGACGGATAACATCAATTGTTATATCTTCCTGATCTGCCAGTTGACTGCAGTAACATATACATTGATACAAATATACCCAACAATGCTCCGGTCGATGCCAAATTTAAAACTCCTCATGGGGGAATGACCTACTGCAATTTACCGCTAACAGTGGCAAAGACAAGTAACAACGGCCGACTGACTGCCAACAACCACCAAACGATGTCAACAATGCACTCCTATGCAACAACTCCAATGCCAAATCTCAACGGCAATACAAATGTAATACGAAAATTTATTTGAAAAAGTTTATGATATGGAAAACATGATAGAGAAAGAAACCGAACGATTTGTATGTAATAATAAAATTTCATTTTCGAGATATTATGTTGTTGAAAAAATTATATGCAAAAAACCAGTTTGCATAAATATTTTTATATGAAAAGCTCATCATAAATGTCTTTCAGCTGTTTCGAGTTGCTTAAGTGCTTGACGAAGCTTCGATGCACTGTCTAGGCATATTCTTAACATACACGCAGAAATACCCATTATTTTCTATAGCCGGCTTATAACTTGAAAAGTTTTCTATGTGTAGGACAATACTAGGTTATTTTATTAAATAGTTATTTTTTTAGAATTTTGGCTTTTGAAGTTTAATTTTTAGTTTAGTTTCATTTGAAGTGTCTGTTTGAAATTTTTATGTACTAATTAGAATTATTCGAAAAAAATAACAGGTATTTTTTTATTTTTCATCGGGCATAACATATCGGTTCGGTTAAATTCGATACAGAAGCGTCTTATCTGCAACTAGTTCGTAACTACTTCCATTGCATAGCTGACACTACGCTTGGATACTAAGAACCTCATATTGAGCAATACATTTACTATTGCATGTAAAGTCATTTTTTTTTTGTTAAAATGGATGTATGTTCTTTGGTACATACACAGTTTTTCGCATTGCACCGTGCAGTTTCACGTGAACTTTTGTTTTCTTTCCTCGTATCCCTGCCTTTTGTTTTTATTATACACTGAACAGGGAATATTAAGTTTACCACGAAGTTTGTAACACCCAGTAGGAAAATATATACATATATGATCAGCATGATGAGCTGAGTTGATTTCGCCATGTCCGTCCGTCTTTTTTTGTCTGTCTGTATATATAAAAATAGTCCCTCAGTTTTTAAGCTATAGATCTAAAATTTTGCACCTGTCCTTTTCTCACTAAGAAGCTGCTCATTTGTCGGAACGACCGATATCAGACCATTATAGCATATAGCTGCCATATTAACTGAACGATCGGAATAAAGTGCTTTTTAATTTAACGGGATATGTTCACAAAATTAAGCATGAGTTGTTGTCTATGGCAGCAATGTAATCTCTGAGGAAACTGTTCAGATCAGATCACTATAGCATATAGCTGCCATACAAATTGAACGATCACAATCAAGTTCTTGTAAAGAACCTTTGTATTTGTGAAGGGTATTATAGCTGCGGTGCAACCGAAGTTAACGCATTTTCTTGTTCTCCTTATTTTAGTTTCCCATTTGCCACTGACTTGTCTTTCGCGGTTTTATTTGTTTTATTTATTTAGAAGTTCTGAAATGTGGGAAAGTTTTCGCCACGGAAAAACGTATTAAAACTAGTCGCTTCGGTTTGTTGTAGCACTTCAAAGTTCGTTTTCCGCTGAGGTGTGCACAGCAACGCACAGTTTCTGGCTACTTCTTAGTGTTTATATAATTGTGTTTGGATCGATTTTCCAGATTGGTGAGAAGCAAATGAAATTTTACTCGAATAGAAATAAGAGAACTTCCATTGGTTCAATTAGAATGCAATGAGCTGGATTAAAGTGGAATTGAGGAGAAGCAATTTGAACAATTTTTACGATGCTTGTGGCAAATAAATCTTATATTGTAATCCTTTTATACTTTTTGAATTATATTAGATCTAGTCTTCTTGTAGATACTTAGATTCTAATTACATATACTAGTTATTTATTAGATACTCAAGTATTCCTGTTGAAGTTTACCGAAAGGTCATAAGCGCTTTAAGCTGAATACATTTGCCTTTTCTTGTTTTTAAGAGTAAAACTTTATTTCAAATCTTTTGTAGGTGTCAGTCTTATACAATTGAATATAAATTATCTTTTACAGTTGTATAGTCTTTGGTATAGAATTTTTGAAAGGCCACTACGTATAAAATCTATTTTCTGTCTTATTTGACAAAAGTTTGAATTGATTAATTGAAAAAGAAATATACTCTAGAAGAATAACATCTGCATAACGATCAAAAGGTATAAGATAGACAATGAAAGCTTAGTAGAAAGAGACGACCGTGAGTTTTGAGCTTCAAAATCAATTACTACAGACGTGCGTTAGCTAACAGTGGTCTCTGTGAAGGCTAGAGATACGATATTGCAGGTGAATCCATTATACAGAAAAACTTCTGATATAAATCCGAAACTCGTGTAAGTACTACTCAATGCTATATAATTACTGCTTAAGAAGACATTGAGAGTTTCAAAATTAATTTTTTAATAAAAAAACAGGATAATAGAGTCTTGTAGAGAGCATTCTTCAAGTGAAGCGAAAATATCTTGTATAATTTATAGCTTTTAAAACCTCTGCTCGTTCCTACAGCTAAATCTTTTAGGAAAGTCTGCATCACGCTTTTGCTTTTTCGCATCTTTATTATATTATATTTGTATAACATTCATCTTATAAAGTAGCTGTGGCAACAGTGTGCAACACATCCTCTGGCTATATCACTGCAGCATGTCAGAAACTCCATTTGAAGATTTATTTCAAGCTCAAGGATAAAGTTGCAGCAAATTCACTTTTGCACACAAGCAGAAACTATTTTTACACATACATAAGCTCTTTTATGTTTATAGAGAAGTATGTTTGTATGGCGGACATGCCTGTCTCCTTACAAGCCACTCGTGCGAAAGCAAACTGGGTCATAGCTGCTAACTTTTACCTGTTTTAATTTTATACTATTTTATCGTTCTGTAACATCTTCTAGCTGCTGCAGCTGCTATAGTTGCTGCTAATGTTTTTACTATGTCGGTTTCTTGCCACATGTCGCCGCCAGAGACAGTTTGTACATTTCATTCTTTCAGTTTCTTTTGCTTGCTTGTACACGACTGCAATGACAAATAGCACTTTTTCACGCTGCAATTTCATTGCCAATTTTTCTTAGACGAAATATGTATTTGTATAAGTGAGTCCGTGTGATTTTACTGCACCTTCAGTATAATTCCATATGTCTGCGTTTCGATTTCAATGCTATTTTATGCGTGTTGACTGCCAGTCTGCAGAACACAGTGTTGTAAAATTCTGCACTAATTTGGTGTTGCTTTTGTTGTTATCCGCTGTCTTTGTTGCCTAATTAATTTCACGACATTTTGCTTGTGAGCACATTGTTGAGTTTTTCTCTTTCTCTTTCCTTACTACTATCGCATAAACTTCAGCTTACTTGCAGCTATACACCCACACACACGCATTGATACATACATACATACATACGTTAACTTGTCAATAGTTGAGCTGCCTGGCTGCAGTGTGGAAATAATTTAAAGGCGATTACTTCAATATAAGCATATACCTATAATAATACTATTAATATACATACATATATCTATATTTCTTTTTCGACATACATTTGTATTTGTAGCACACACAATAATTCAAAACTTTCAAAATAATTTTTTTTTTGCTTAGCCTGAGAGTAAAATTTGTAGATTATAAAAACAGAAAAATTTTGTAAAAAAAATTTTTTTTTAACATCTAGAGGCGCCTACTTACTCTTAAAGTAAATTTCGAGTTAAAAATTTTTTTGGGTCAATTAAAAGTTATCAACTTAAAAAAAAATTTTGTGGTTGTCATTGGAGTT